AAATACAATTTGTGGACCTTGTTTGGAGCCTATAAAAAAGATATGAATGAGACAATTGGGAAAATCTGAACACTGAGCAGGTAGGATGTTAAGGAATTATTATTAGGTTTTTTAATGTAAAAATGCTATTTGGGTTATATTTATTAAGAAAAAGACTTGATTTCTAATATTGATGAATGTAAAGAAGAAATTATATGTCTTGGATTTGCTTGAAAACAATCCAGTAGAATGGGTAGGGATGGATTAGAGTCGAAAGGAGGTTGGCCCCCAATTGATAACTATTGAAGCTGAGTGATGGGTACATTGTATTATTCTGTTGTACTTTTGTGGATGTTTGAAATTTCTACAGTAAGTTAATAGAAGGACCAAACAATACTGAAAAAAGCTGCAGAGTTAAAGTCCCTATAATAAAAATGTCTATAATAGAATTTCCTTTCAAAGTTCTATAATAAACAATGAGCTAGCCCTTTTAGGAAAAGAAAAAATAAGTGTAACAAAAGGAGCACCTTGTTTCTAATGCGATCTCTCTTAACCACTTCCTCTTTCTTTTCCGTTTTTTCTAAGCTGGCTAGTGATTCTGTACTTTCAGTCTTCTTTCCTTTATCCCGAAGTGCTTCTTTCTCTTTTTTAATTTCTTCTTCCTTTCTTTTAAAAGCCTTTTCTTTCTCATAGCGCTCCCTCTGCCTCCGGCGTTCTTCTTCTTGACGCTTTAGTCTCTCTCTTTCCCGAAGAATGCGCTCTTGATCACGTTCATAATCCCGTTCCCTCTCCCTGTAGTCTCTGCCACTCTCATCTTCGGGTCTGCATGAAAAAACAAATCTGAGAATGTACCCACAAAGATCTTCCAATCACAAATGAAGGAACACTCTGATTCTAACTTGGCCACTGCAATGAGGCTGCACTTTTGGAGCAGAGTAAAAAATAAATACGAGCATTTTGAAAAACAGTTAACAGCCCTAACCAGTTTGACTCAGTGGATAGAGCATTGATCCATGGACTGAAGGGGCCGAGGTTTCATTCTGGTCAAGGGCATGTAGCTATGTTGCAGGCTCCATCTCAGGGTGTTGTTGGGGCACATGCACATGCAGGAGGCAACCAATCAATGAATGTATTTCTCTCACATTGATGTTTCCCTCTCCCTCCCTTCCACTCTTTCTAAAAACCAATGGAAAAACATCCTTGGGTGAGGATTAACAAAAAAAGAAAAACAGTAACAAAGAAACAAAAGTCATCCACCCAGATCAAGATATTAGAATATTTAAAACCTTTCCTCCTCATCCCTGTGCCCCTGTTAAAACAGCTTATTTAATTCAGGTATAAGTCAAGGACATAGCAGTAAAACTAGCGTCAAGAAATACGTTGAAAACAAATGTACTAAAGAGCCCTCGCCTACTGACCTCTTAGGCTTTTCATCTTTAAATTCGCCTTCACAACGTTTGGGCAATGTACAACTTTGCCCACTGGCTCTTTCATCACTCAGATTCTCTTTGTCCAATTTCTTGGCCTTTTCTCTTTTGTCCATTTCTTTTTCATCCCCCTTTTCTGGCTTCTTGAGCAGCTTTAAAGAGAACAAATTTATTTTGAAGGGTGGGACACTGTCTTTTACGCCTATCAAAGAAAACAATATACTAAATATTTTAAATTTTGACTAGAAAAGGCCCCTTTTTTCTGCAGATACTTAAACTTTCAGGTGAACAATAGTGCACAAGAGCAGTAATTTACTAAGAGGTTGTTATTAATATGAAAGTGTTATCCACTCAAATGACGTGGTTTAATCACTTGTGGCAATAAGATCAAGACTCCTTTGGCTTTAAATGGGTCAGCCTTTAAGTGAACCAATGCATACGTCCAAGTATGCCTTTTATAGCAAAGCAGCATGTCAATACAACTTGATGGGAAAATATGCCACAAATTCAAAATGCTAGGTAGATCATTACTATGGGAGTATTTTTATGTATTACTTGGAATGACAAATATCTTGGTCACCAAAGGAGCGATCTATTGTGAGAATAATTTTGCCTTGAGCCTGAGAGTAACTTACTTATATAATGGTACAATCATATTATCATTAGAGATTAATAGTAAGAATTATTTGGCATTGGATTTAAAAATCCAAATACCTCATACAACAGCACAGTGAAGTTCCATCTCTACTAAGTAGGAACTCTGTACAATGTCATGATGTGTATGAAAGGATGTAATTCTAAAATAAAAGCATTTCATATAGACCAAATTTCTAACATTTTTTTTCATACCACTGCTACAAATCTCTAGAATACCCCCAAGTGTTGGATATTCAGAGAGACTCTTAGGCAAAATGGAAGAATTTCAAGTCTCAGGGTGAAGGCATCATACAGGTTACCAAGCAAAAGGCCAAGCACCAAAAGATTTAAGCATGAAGTATTTCAGCACAGTCAGCCACTGCAAATGGTGAGTCCAAACTGGACACTAAGAAGGCATTACTGTAACGTGAGGATACCATGTACAGGTTTCATTGGAGGTGTTCTTATTTCTCTAATGAACATCTTTGTTGGGAAGCCAAGATGTTCATTACTCTAATAAGAACATTAATGGGTGTCTCTAGCATGGATGGCTCTACCTTCTGCCTTGCTGGTAGTTAGTAATAGCAAGTCAAGTCACTTGTGGTATGGCAGACATTGCTACAAAGAATTAAGATGGGAACTTTCCCACACTGTGGCCAAGCCCCTTATCAACAATAATGAGCCCTGGAGAGACTCAGGGAACCACATAAACTGCTGAATTTTGAGGAGGTAAAAGGAGACCCTACCATCTCCACAGACTCTGAGATTTTTTCTAACTTTCTCTGAAGTACTTAGTACTTCCCCAAGAAGTTCACTGGAACAAGGGCTGTCCAAGCCATGCCCTGAGAAGGGAAGCTGCAAGGCCGGGATCTTTCTATAGGTTTTCCTCTTCCTGTATGCATTGTGTTAATCAGAATCAGCTGCTCATAGATTCCCAGGGAGATGCAAGAAGGTAACATGGGAATCATGTGAGAGAGGAAAGCACGTAATGCAGGATATTATCTGTAGTACTTGCACAAGACAGTTATGAGAGGCAGCTAAAAAAGAGAAAGAGCTATTTAGGCATGGTTGTCCTCTGGCTGTATATTGTTGAAGCTTCTGGGGACAGAGCAGAGCATCAGGAAGTCATATGGGCTTCCTTTTAAAGTAGGAATTTAAAATAGCTTGCTTTTAAGAAGACTCATCAGTCTGAAGGGGTTTTCTACAGGTATCACTACCACCACCACCAAAAGGATTTATTAACTAAGACCTGTGTGTGTGTGACATGATACTAGGTGTTCTGTATCATGTACTTGGTCCTTACATTTTTCTGATTCACAGCTTGTAACAGAAACCTGTGTACCTGAAGACAGTGGAAAACAAACAGATGAGGCAACTTAATGTATCAAATATGAAGGAAAAGCTGAATAAAAACCATAATTCATGCCAGCCAGCCCTATTTTATGAAGAATTGACAGAATAATCATCTAAAAATTGAACATTTTAAATGATAAAAATAACACAGATCTGCCCTGAAGAAATAGCATGTAAACTACTTAGTCCTTTTAAATTATCTTAAAATTAAAAAATCATACTATTAGTATTATATAAAGATTTTAATTGGTTCACTTGCCCCCCCCCAACCAAAAAGGACAAAAACAAAACTGAATACCTATATTTATACCACACAAGATGCATGCATATTTATAAAGAAGTAGATACATGCAATTTTCAGTAACATGCAGTCAGTTTAAGTTATTTTCATACCTTAATCTTTGGTTCTTCCTTTAATTTGTCCCTTTCTGGAACTCTTTCTATCTTCTTTAGCTTTTCTATATCTTTCCTTTTTCGTTTCTCTTCTTCTTTCCATTTCCTCCTCTCTTCTTCTCTTTGTCTTTTTCTTTCTATTTCTCGCCGCCTTCTTTCTTCTCTTTTCTCTTCTCTCATTCTCTAGAAAGAAAGATCGACACACACCTTCAAACAAGATAATCATCACCAAAACTTAAATCAATCCCAAAGGCATGGCGGGCACCCACTAAACTGGATCATCTTTCCTTCCTACTTTCTACCTCAACCCCCTCCCCACCCCATTCAGTATATGAGAATGAAGTCCAGGACTTGCTAGTATCAGTTTCCCACTGCTGCCTTGCTGTATTTCAGAAAAATCAAGAGTGTCTCCTGAACAAGCTAAGGGTTCTCTGGGTTTGCAGAATGATTCTTTGATCCAGCAACCAAAGAGAAGGAGGGGGCCACTAAGCCAAATCTCTAAAGAATAATGTTAAGAAAAAGCAGCTGTTTCTCCTAGGGGATCCCAATGCTCTTAAAATGTTTAACAGAATGTGAACCAATGAAAAAAAAGTATTGAGAAAACTATAAAAACAGAGGTTTACCTGCTTGTTTTTCAGGAAGCTCAATAGTGGGGTTGTCTTTTTAGCTACATAAATGTAAACAGATTATTAATAATACTTATCCACCCCTAGAAAGGATTCCATTTTCTGACATTCCCTGCCAACCACCCAAGGTGGGAAAAACTATACCCCTTAAACAGACAGTTCACAACTATATTATCAGAAATTTTTTTTACAGTATTCCAATTCTGCAAATTTAAAATACCTTTTAAAAATTAAAGAAGTACAAAATAAAACAATAAACTGTTCTATAGATGGGAGTAAAAATTTGTCCAACTGGGAATATATACGTGTCCATTAATAAAAACCAACTTTTAGAAGAATATTTAATTCATTTTTTAGTATTTTGAGCAATGCTATCTAATCTTGTAGCTAGCTTTTGAAAACATACTTCCTTTGGATAAATTCTTTGGAGTGGGCATCCGGGGTCAGAGGCTATGCTTATGTTTAGAGTTGATACAGTAGTGACAGCTTACTGCTAGAACCAACATCCAAGCTAGAATTTCTCAAGAGGTTTTCAGTTTTGTAGTAACTAAATCCATTTTTTTATATTTCTTTTTATCAATATTAGCTTCTTATTACTAGAAAACATCAGCTGATCTTCAAATGCTTACCAACATCTAAAGGTAAGCATGAGTCTTCAAACATTTTATACTTATGTTACATTTGTGTGGCACTAAATAGGTCACAGAGTTTTCCCCATCTAATCAGAGCAATCGCATAATCCTGTGACACAGGTATTATCCTCTGCTTATTGCAGTAAAAGAAACAGAGTCTCAGAGAAGTTAGTGCTTTCCCCATGACCATACAGCTATCAAGTGACAGAAGTGGAAGTCAGACAGGTCTTCTGATGAAAAAGCTATTGACCTTAATTCCTTTTGTCCACTTACCTATTAGTTCTCTATTTTTAGCTTCTATTTCCTCTAGCAGCGTCTCTGGAGTAGATGTCATTTTCTCATTATCAGCAGCATAACTTTCCAAAAATTTTCTATATTCTGGATCTAAATAATTGTTTAAGGAAACAGAAAATATAGTAGAGTTTAAACAAACAGGAAATTATTATCTAGGATTTTATCAAAGAAGATTAATTTTCTACATCATGGAAGATTGAAAATAAACCTATACCCACAAGATAAACTATTTACAGCTTTCTTGGTTACTCTCAGAACTCCTATTAGAGATACCCACAAAGGGAGTATGGTGTAACGTGGGGTCAGGGAAAATGAGATAGCAGAGATTATAATAGAAACTTCAGGGATGATAAATAGTTTGCTTTTGAAAGTCACTGCTCCTACTAATCCAGAGTCACACTTGTGAAAGAAATGCTATGTGTATATAGTTACAGTATATATTTGTTATGCATACAGAATGTAAGCAATTCCTGTATGGGTAATCTTCACTTTAAGTAAACTCAACATATGAAAATCAGATGTTCCAAAAAGACACAAAAGGGGGATGTCATGGATGGCACTGGAGGTGATGGTAATTCTTGGAGTTCCTTCCTAGATGCCTCTGACATCAGACAGGGTAACACATCTGAGTTACTATACTTCTTGTATTTGGAGTTTCGATGCAGTGTGGACCATATCACTTGATCTAGTCTTCCAGGTCTGAATCTATCATATAATCAATAAGCAGCTGCATCTTGAGTCTTTTCTGTGTTCTTTACAAAATGGTTATTATAGTAGTAAATAATGGAAATCAAACTAGATGGTTCTAAAATATCAATCTGATAGAAAATATTGCAGCTAAGCCATTATCCAATATAAGTTACAGAGATCTCAAAATCTGGGTCCAGTTTACCATATGTGGCAATTATTCCAGTTTTTTAGTTCCTCTCTTTTGGCTCAGTATAACTACTGTGTGTGTAGTTAACTTCATATTCAAAGCCAAGAAAATAGGACTCACCACTTTGGTTACTTCATATTAAGTTACTTGAATACATTAAGTTTTCCAGTAGAGCTCTCAATAATAAATCTTCCTCTTTATACAAATGGAAACCCAAAAGTTTGATAATCATAATAGTGGTAAAAGCCTCAAGTAGTTGTTGTACTACTCAATGGTGGAGGAATGAAATGCCACTAGCCAAAGAGAGTGAAAACTCTATAGGAAGGAAACCTACCTCCATTTTAACAGTTAAGCAAAGCTTTCATCAATGAATTATATTTCATATTAACTTTATCCCATACGTTCTATTATTTAAAAGCTTGGAGTCCAATTAATTCTCACAAAGGTAATACTTTTTAAAAGCCTATGGCATTAGCATTACAAAACTAGAGCTATACTGTACCATCATCGATAGTCCCAACTTTAGTATCTCTTTTCTTAGTCTTCTTTTTTGCAGCTTTTTGAAAAGGAGCAAACTCTACTATTGCAGGATATTCCTGACCTGTTTAGAAAAAAAAAATCACACTTGTTATATAACAAAGAAAATATCAAGTGGATAAAAGAGAGCCCACTGCTCTCTAGGCTTTTCTTCTTTTTTGGAGGGAGGGGCTTTGTCTATATTTTTTATTAAAAATTTTTAATGTTGACATTATTATAGGTTTCCCTCCTATTTCCCCTTTGCCTAGGCTTCCTTTGATGGCAGTCATCTGAGACGTGTCTCCAAATGGGCATCAATCACACTGGCCCAACTACAGTCAACATGCCAAAGGGCTTTGTCTGTATTTTTATTAAAAACTCTTAATGTTGACATTATTGTAGTTTTCCCCCCTATTTTCCCTTTCCTAGCTTCCTTTGATGGCAGTCATCTGAGAAGTGTCTCCAAATGGGCATTCACACTGGCCCAACTAAAGTCAACTCTACCAAACGAGCCCCTAATGGAAAAAATGAAATGAATAAAACATTCATTTAAATTCTACTTATAAAGTGTAATATTTTGATATGTGGGGGGAAATAAGCTGATTTTCTTTTAAAAGCACATCATAAATCTCTAGAATAAGCAAATCTATAGAGAAAAATAAGATTAGTGGTTGCCGAGAGCAGGGGAGAGTGGTGGGGAGAACAGGGAGTATCAGCTATTGGGTATGGGGTTTCTCTTTAGAGTGATGAGCACGTTCCAAAATTAGATTATGGTGATAGCTTCACAACTTTGTGAATACACTAAAAACATTTTAAAAAATAAATTTTAGTTTTTTTTATTGATTTGAGAAACATCGATTTGTTGTTCCACTTATTTGTGCATTCATTGGTTGATCCTTTTTTAAAAAATATGTTTTTATTGATTTCAGAGAGAGGGAGAGGGAGAGATAGAAACATCAATGATGACAGAATCATTGATCAGCTGCCTCCTGCACGCCCCTCTACTGGGGATCGAGCCCGCAACCTGGACATGTGCCCTGACAGGGAATCCAACGGGGACCTCCTGGTTCATAGGTCAATGCTCAACCACTGAACCACACCAGCCAAGCATTGGTTGATTCTTATATATGCCCTCACCAGGGCTAAAACCCAGTACCTTGGCATATTGGGATAATGCTCTAACCAACTGAGCTACCTGGCACTAAAAAACATTGTTTTAAAAAATATATATTTTTATTGATTTCAGAGAGGAAGGGAAAGGAAGAGAGATAGAAACACAAATGATGAGAGAGAATCATTGATTGGCTGCCTCCTGCATGCCCCACACAGGGGATTAAGCCAGTAACCAAGGCATGTGCTGTGACCAGAAATCGAACCGTGACCTCCTGGTTCATAGGTGGACACTCAACCACTGAACCACACTGGCCAGGCTAAAAAACATTTTAAAGGGTGAATTTTGTGGTATGTTATTTAAAAAATACACCAGGGCATCAAAAGCAAGGCAACAAAAGAAAAAAATTGATAAAACTGGATATCAAAATTAAAAACTGCATTTAAGAACACAGTCAACATAGTAGAAAAGCAACCTATAAAACAGAAAATATTTGCAAATCATACGTCTGATAAGGAGTCAATATACAGAACATACAAAGAACTCATACAACTCAACAACAAAAAACCTACAATCCGCCCTAGCCGGTTTGGCTCAGTGGATAGAGCATCAGCCTGGGGTTGCGGGCTCGATCCCCAGTAGGGGGCGTACAGGAGACAGCAAATCAATGATTCTCATCATTGATATTTCTATCTCTCTCCCTTCCTCTCTGAAATCAATAAAAATATATTTAAAAAACAAAAAAACCCACAATCCAATTTTTAAAAGTTCAAAGGACTTGAATAGACATTTGTCCAAAGATGATATACAAAAGGCCAAAAAACATATGAAAAGATGCTCAGATGCTCAAGAATATGAAAATGCTTAACTATTAACTCATTAATTATTAGGGAAACACAAATCAAAACCACAATAAGCTATCACCTCACATCCATTAGAATGGTTACTATTAAAGGAAAAACACCCCACAGAAAATAGTAAGTGTTGGTGAAAATGTGGAGACAGAATGCTTGTGCTTTACTGGTGGGAATGTAAAATGGTGTAGCTTCTATGGAAAACAATATGATGATTCCTAAAAAAAATTTAAAATAGAATTACCATATGACCTAACAGTTCCACTTTTGGGTATACAGTGGGGCCTTGACTTATGAGTGTCCCGACTAACGAGTTTTTCGAGATACGAGCCGTCTCTCGGCCGATTTTTTGCTTTGAGTTGCGAGCTAAAATTTGGGTTACGCCAGCTTCAGATACCCCACCGCTAGTTGGCGCAGCAAACGTCACAGTGAACGCCACAACATCAGCCCAGCATCACGTGTCTCACTTGTTCACTTTTTGATTTGACATACGAGTAATTTGAGTTACGAGCTCCATCACGGAACGAATTAAACTCTTAAGTCAAGGCCCCACTGTATATTCAAAAGAAGTGAAAGCAGAGACTTGAATAGATTATCTGTACACCCACATTCACAGAAGCATTATTCACAATAGCCAAGAGTTCAGGGAAGCATCCATGTTATATATTTTAAAGCCTGAATAATACTCCATTGTATGTATATACTACATTTTGTTTATCCATTCATCATCTTTCAAGGGATATTTGATGAATGGATAAACAAAATGTAATATATATATATATATACACACACACATACACACACACACACACACACACACACACACAATGGAATATTATTTGGCCTTAAAAAGAAAATTCCGACATATGCTATAACATGGATAAATCACAAGAAGTCAAATACTATATGATTCCACTTGTATGTGGTACCTAGAATGGTCAACTTCATAGAGATAGAATGGTATTTGCCAGGGATTGGGGAGCGGGGAACATGGGGAGTAGTTTTTTAATCAGTATAGAGTTTCAGTCTTGAAAAATGAAGTTCTAAAGATTGGGTGCACAACAATGTGAATGTCAACACAACTGAACTGTACACTTAAAAAATGGTTAAGACTGCAAGTTTTTAAAATATCATTTATTTTTTAAAATATATTTTTATTGATTTCAGAGAGGAAGGGAGAGGGAAAGAGAGATAAAAGCATCAGTGATGAGAATCATTGATCGGCTGCCTCCTACATGCCCCCTACTGGGGATTGAGCCCGTAACCCAGGCCTGTGTCCTTAACCAGAATCGAACCTGGGACCCTTTGGTATGCAGGCCGACACTCTCACTGAGCAAAACCAGCTAGGGCTGCAAATTTTAGTATTGTGTATTTTACCACAATTTTTAAGAATGCAAACAAAAATAAAGGAATGAGCTAATGATACATGCTATAACAAGGATGAACCTTGAAAACATGCTAAGAAGCCGCCAGTCACAAATCCTGGTGAATGCAGAATCAGATTAGCTTAATAACTGATATATGTGAAATGCCTAAAATAGGGTAAACCATAGGTAGAATAGTGATTGCCAGGGGTGGGAGGGGAAAACGGGAGATGAATGCTAATGGGTATAGGATACTTATTGGAGTGATAAAAACATTCTGTATTTACATAGAGGTGATGGTTGCACAACTTTGTGAATATACTAAAACACTGAATTTTATGGTATGTGAGTTATAACTCAATTAAAAAAAAACACAAATGTTGCCCTAGCCGGTTTGGCTCAGTGGATAGAGCGTCAGCCTGTGGACTAAAGGTTCCAGGTTCGATTCCAGTCAAGGGCACATGTCCAGGTTGTGTGCTTGATCCTTAGTAGGGGGTGTGCAGGAGGCAGCTGATCAATGATTCTCTCTCATCATTGATGTTCCTATCTCTCTCTCCCTTTTCCTTCCTTCCTCTCTGAAATAAATAAAATATATTTAAAAAAAACAAGTGCCCTGGCAGGTATGGTTTAGTTGGTTGAGTGTGGTCCTATGCACCAAAAGATCACTGGTCAGGGTGCATGCAGGAGGCAACTGATTGATGTTTCTCTCTCTCCCTCTACCTTCCTCTGTGTAAAAAAAAAACCAAAAAAAAACAAAAAACAAAAGAATAAAACATTTTTTCTAAAAAAACAAGTAACTACTGGAAAAAAAGATACCAGGTCCCTGCTATAGAATAATATCACACAAACTATAAAGATCATTGACATGTAGACATAAGCCAGAATAAAATAACTAGAATTGACCAGAAGGTATCACAAAGCACTCATGGAGGAAACATGACTGGAAATCCTGGTAAATGCAGAATCAGATTAGCTTAATAACTGATATATATGAAAAGGAATAGATAAACCAGACTGAAAAAAACAAAACAGAAGTGATTCCAGACTATGGAGGGCCTTAACTACAAGGCTAAAGAGTTAACTTTTTCACAGTTGTTCTTAAATCACTATTTTCAAAAAGATTAATTTCATGGCAATATAACAGACTGAATTATACAGAAATGGAAAACCCTACAAGTTTAGACAGTGGTTGTCTAAACATTAGGTGACAAGGACATAAAGTATGAAAGTATTAGTAAGAATAGATGGACATGATGTTAAAAAAATAAATTTAGCTGAAACCGGTTTGGCTCAGTGGATAGAGCGTCGGCCTGCGGACTGAAAGGTCCCAGGTTCGATTCCGGTCAAGGGCATGTACCTGGGTTGCGGGCATATCCCCAGTGGGGGGTGTGCAGGAGGCAGCTGATCGATGATTCTCTCTCATCATTGATGTTTCTATCTCTCTCTATCTCTCCCTTCCTCTCTGTAAAAAATCAATAAAATATATTTAAAAAAAAATAAATTTAAAAGATTCCTCTCTCTCTAAAATCAATCAATAAATAAAAATTAGCCCTGGCTGGTTTGGCTCAGTGGATAGAGCGTCAGCCTGCAGACTGAAGGGTCCCAGGTTCGATTCCAGTCAAGGGCACATGCTTGGGTTACAGGCTCGATCCCCAGTAGGGGATGTGCAGGAGGCAGCTGATCGATGATTCTCTCTCATCATTGATGTTTCTATCTCTCTCTATCTCTCCCTTCCTCTCTGAAATCAATAAAAATATATATTTAAAAATAAATAAATAAAAATTACAAAAGATTCATCACTTGTTTATATGTAAGGTATAAAAAAAGAGAGGAAAAGATTAAATACAACTCAGATTTCCAGGCCAAGTCACTAGGAAATCACTGCTATCTACTGGAATAAAGTTGGAGTAGAGAAGTAGCTAGTTTGTAGGGATTAATAAAGTTGGACAGTGGCATTATTCCAACAAGTAATTATTGGCAGGAGAAGATTTGACTTTGGGTAGTGGGCACACAGTACAATATACCACACCTGATCTTGTACCACCTCAAACCTATATGATCATATTAACCAATGTCACCCCAATAAATTTAGTAAAAAAGGAAAACAAACAAAAACCCACAAGTAACTATTGGCTTAAACGACTTGAATAAATAAATGCTGGTCCTTGAAGCAAGATGAGAAGTAAATGTTTAAAACTTGTCATACAGTGTAAAGAGTCACTTATCCATA